AGGCAACATTTGGCCATGCCACCGTGCCCAACCGACCCGTGGATCCGTCCAATGTCAATGACAGCGACTGGTGCTGCGTCCGAGAGAACAGGCCCACCGCCAGAAGAAGCCAAAAGAAGCGACCGAAGCTGCAAACAGCTGAAATAGCTGGGGCGCCTCCTTCCAATTAAGTTGCGGGCATCGCCAAAAGTTGCAACAGCAACATGCACATGCCGGAAATGTTGAGAACCCGGGATCCCATCTCCATCATCATCATCTTCATCATCATCATCATCATCGGCGTCATCAGCATTGAGGGATCGATAGGCAGCAGCGATCACATTGACTGATTGCCAGTCGAGACATCAAATTGAAGTCTTGGGATAGAGATAGATAGAAAGAGAACATGTCTGGGGCAAGGAGTGCAAGATGGGCGTGGAGATGGCGGTCTGCGGGGGGCTGCTGCGGCTGCAGCTCTTCTAATTGCAACGCCCACACGCACTGAGCCGATTGCCGCGAGAGAGATTGCCCAAGAGATTGAAACGTTCCGCTGCGCCGGTCCTGCCTCTGGTCTGCTGCTCCGATGTGATCTGATCTGGTCTGGTCTTGTCTGGTCTTGTCTCGGCACGGACTGGGGTCTGTCCAGGACTGGTCTAGATTGACTTTTCCAATTTGTTTGCATTTATCATTCAGCGATGCCCTGCCTTTCGATCGAGGAACTGAGGCTATGGGTAAGTTTTTGTGCTTATTCCTTTTGGGGATTGCTTCTATATAGAATATAAAAGAATCTTTTCCCTCAGTAGCCCCCGAAATGCCAAAATAAAGAGTACTTCTCTCATATTTCTCCAGCAGCAATCCATCAATCAAGCATAAAGTCGCTTACAAAATATTTCAAACAGAAATCACACTTAAATCTGCACAAAGAATTCTCGGAACTACTCCATGCTCTCTCTCTCTCCTTCATCTGAGAGAAAATCCGGCATTAAATATAGAACAAAGGGATTTCTATGATTTATGGGGGGAGACATGGGGTATTGGGGTACTACAGAGTATTACAAACTTCGTCTTGGCCGTGATTTATATGTTGTTGTTGGCTTTTAATTGCGTGACTGTTTGGCACACGGCTCGTTTAATGGCCAACAAGTCGGTCGGCCGGCGATCAATCAGGCAGCAGTTCACACAGTCCCACAGTCTGGGCGAGTAAATTATGGCCCAAACCGCCGAAATATGCCAAAAAGTGAACTCTTTAGAGCCGTTTTTCTCTTATTTATTGTACGGGCAGGCGACAAGTTCCCCTACACATTCCCCACGAGACATTCCTCTGGCTGCTGCTGCGTCTGGGCCAACACTTTCCCCCCGAGAGATTTCCTCGGGAGAAAGGCGGGGGAAATTAATAATATAAAACTTTATAGATTTGCCATATAAATTCAAGGCTTCCGCGTTATGTTTTAGCTTTCGGTTGAACTATAAATCACGACCAGATCGTAGCGGACTTCGGAGAGGGAAACCGGAGACCACTTTGAGCGGTTTGCTATTATGTCATAAGCCGATTTGCCTGTCATTAGTGCCGGAGAGCGCCCCACATTAGAATTGCCAATAAATCAAAATTACCACCGACATATGTATCTACGCACCAAAGGAAAACCGAAACATACGAGTATATACGATAGATATACTATATCTATCGATGTGGCAACGGATCTCGTCTCTCAACAGAGTGTGGCAATCGGCAGGTCAAGATTTTACGGTCGGGTGGCGAGTGGAGAACATTTTGTTTATTTCGTTCTAAGTACAATCCCCAGCGAAAGCGAAAGTGAAATGATATATAACAGAGATCTCTGTTTTTAGCCAATCACCATTCTAGATGGGGCTTCCCCGAATGTGTGTCTATGAGAGGGCTACAAAAGTGATAAGCCAGAAGGGGTTCAGTGCCTGCCGATATCGCTGACCTTTGATTCGGATACGTCGCGACTTACGAGTTCCTTTCGATTTCATGTTTGGCACTCTGAGCCAAGAGCTTCCCAGAGAACCGAAATCACTTTCTTCTGTATGCCAGGGGAATAGAACTTTTGAATGAATTACCTCACTGCCTGCCTAATGCCATGCACAATCGATTCCACGAATCCCCCAGGCGAATGTTTGACGAACTTTCAATCATTCCGCCCTATCGCGAGTCTGTTTGAATGCCCGTGCAACTGTTTATAGGTGGGCATCATCTAGTGCCATTGCAGTGTGCGCTCTCAGCACACAATCCCCCGCCCTGCGAGTATTTGCCTTAGATAACCTCCTTCCATTCCCATTCCCATTCCCATTCCGATTCCCATTCCCATTCGCATTCGCGCTCTGTTGAAGATAAACGGCATTTTGTAGTCATTCAACTACAGAGATTATACAATTATGTATGCGCCAAGATGCTAATGACTAGATCGGGTCTATATATACTCGTATTCCCGTATGTGCATATGTTTTGCATTTTGTTGACCTTGTGCTGGGCTCCAACAAAGTGCGCCGATGAGTATACATATAAACTGATTTCCCCGCTAGTATGTCAATATTTTATATTCTATATTTCGCTTTAGAGAGCTCTCCAAACTACAAGCTGGAAAAAGGTCAGCCTCGTAGAGATAACCTTTCGGCGGCCGAACTTTCGGGGTCTCCGATTGGAAATTTCAAGCATTAAAAATGTTGAGGTTGCGGGTGGAATACGGCAGAACAGAACGGCTCTGCTCCTCGCACCGTCATCTCAGTGCAGTTATGCACACGGGGGAATGCGTTGGCAAACAAACCGGTGAAAGGAGAACAAACAGACGGAATGAGGAGGGATCATGTGGGAGGGAATGCCGCATGGGGGACCAGGGCACAGATATTGAGAGGCAAGGCAGAGTGCCCCAAGGCGGATTGATGCGAATTTGGGGGAGTGCAAGGACACAGATATTAAATTCCTTTCTCAAAAGGTCAGAGGGTGAGGCAAAAGGAAGGACGGCTTGCGGTAAGGTGGCATGCAGGTAATTTCATGACCACAGACCATAAGCTTTTTATACCGCCTGACTGCATCAGGTCGCCTTATGGCCCACTCCCCGACGCACTGTGGCATGCTTCGCCCCCCACCCCACTCACTGCCACACGGGGCATCATGCTTCGCCCCACTCACTGCCTCACGTGGAGTGGCATTTATGAACGCTTATTAAATCAGCTTTGGCATTGGATTCCATACGTACTCGCAGGCACATATGTGGTGGTGTGTGCCACAGATAAGAGTGGCACTGCACTACAATCGACTCGAACAAGATGTCAGATATGTCACAGTGTGTGTACTACACACACATACGAACACAATGGAGAGGGATTCCAGAGTTATTCCATGTTTTAGAAGTGTTAAGAATGAAATAATGACCAATTACTCATAGTTCTATTTTTGCAAGACGCGATGGATTGGCATGAGTGGAAAGAGAGACGGACGGCCATCTACAGACTGCAAATCGGGCGAGTGATTGCTGGTATATATTTTACATATGCATATAGTTCAGGGCCATTTGTTGGACTGGGAATCTGATCAGATCTACGAACTCAGCGATGAGTAAGCTATAGTTATAATTTCATTCCAATAAGTGATTGATTTCCTTGAGATCACATTTACTAGCATCTCAATTATGAGTAATCAATATTCATCATCGTATATTAGGAGATCTGTGATCTGTGTGGGCTTAAGTACGATCGATTTCCCCATAAGGGCCCAAGGCGACAAGCAGTTACAACTTGTCGCTTCAATTAGGCCAATTAACGATGGCCCACCAGCATAACGGAGAGTTATGTAGCCCTGTTTCAGTGATCTGAGATTCCTGTATGCAATGAGGGGATTGAAAGTGTCTCTCCATCTCTCTGTGTGTGTGGGGCGATCATTGACCAGCTGCTGTCGGCCCTGGAACATGCAAGTAGCGTCAGAGACTGGTTCTCTGCCTCGGCACGACATTGAGCGGCTTGGGCTGGCCCAATTACAGGCCGGAAAGTGAAACCGATGGCATCAATCGTTGGCCGAGGAGGATGCAGGCCTCTTTTGGGCTACCGATCTGAGGGGCAGAGCCAAATTGGCTTGTTAACCAAATTGGCGGCTCCTACCTGCCGCAACGCGTTTCATAATTGCGAGTGGAACCTTTTCCCAGTACCCACAGTACCCAACACAGTATCCACGGCATTGTGTAACTGCTTCTTACCGATCCACAGCCGGGTGGGCTCCTCCGCTCCGTTCCGTTTCGTGTGATCGGTGATCAGTGCTCGAGATCGGGACTGGATAGGAGGCTCAGGGTTAGTCGTTCACTCGAGTCGGTCGCATTGGTTCGTTCACGCCCCGAGCGAGGTTCAAGGTGAGGCATCAGGCATCTGGCATCTCATTCATTCCGATTCTAATGCGCAAACAACTCGCGCAGACACTCGAAACTTGTCCCACACAGAGGGTTGATCAAGCAGTTGGTCCCAGGGGATTTATTTACAAGACTGGAAACATTTCTCTTACAAATGCACATGGAATTAGAGGAAGCTCCTTTCATAGATTATTTATAAAGCGCTTTAAATATTATTCGCGACATTTTGTGTCTCCTTTTTTTTATTGGTTTTGGAAGAAATGATGTCATCAGTCCATGAAAAAGTGGAACAAATTGCCGTTAAACTTAAACACTTAAACGAATTTCCCAAGAAAAATCACAATAAAAAATGCTGAAGATTGAAGTTTCTTCGAATTTGAGTTACTATATCCATGAAACAGAACTCTCCCCACAAATCTTGTGTCGACCCTCGTCGAGTGAGAGCCAGCGGACAAATATTTAGCCATAACTCCAGACAAACACCCAGCGCGAGCGAGCCAGAGGGAAATAATAAAAGATATAGCGAGATCCCCGCTGGATGCAGAGTCAACAAGCATCGTGGAGAGGAGGATATTTTTTTACGACTTCCACGAAGTCCCTCTCTCTCTCTCTCTCTCTATCTCTCCCTATCTCTTGCTCTGTGTGTGGGTTCGGCAAACTTACCTCATCAAAGTCGGTGCTCGAGCCATCCACTCGGTTGTAATTATCGTGCGGATGCCGTGGCACGCGCTTGTGGTACCCCATCTCCAGACCCTCTACCCGCTCGTCCTCCTCCTGGTCCAGGTCCAGGTCCAGGTCCTGGTCCTGGTCCTGGTAGAAGTCGTAGGGTTCCGTGGGGCTGGTCGGCGGCGGGGCCGAGGTCGGATGCACGGTGGGCCTGTTGTACAGATAGAAGCTGACGCCTCTGGCGGTCACATTTCTCACGTCGCGGTAATTATTATCCGGTAGATTGAACAGCCAGGAACGCTGATACTTGGCGCCGTCCGCCAGCGCGAGGGCAAAGATCAGGAGAAAGACTAAGTACATTTCAAAATGTTTCAAAACTTGTTCTTCACTTAATAATTTATTTGTGTACTGCAGTATTTATTGCTCTTTGTTATTATTTATTGGACACTTGACACTTTTCTGGAAATTAAAGGAACAAGAAACGAACTTTATTAATTGGAATCCATGTAAATTTGATTAATTATAATTCGCGGACACAAAGTATTAATTCAGTTAATTGATTTGTATTTTCCCCCACGATTGCACTCCTTTCGTGTTGTTGATTATTTGCTACTTTGCGGCTTGTCACAACAGCTTGTTTTTAAAGAGTTTGCTCAATTCCAACAAGTTGTTTAAATATTTCGGCATGCGTCCAAATATTTATCTATATGTGCATATATTCATTTTTTGGCACACGCCTTCGCTTTTCGCGCTTTTCGCGCTTTTCACAGCTGCTGGGCCTCAACGGGTTTTTCGGTTACATATTTGCAAATGGAAGCAAAAGAAAAAAGATTTTCCCAGTCGCGTCGCTGTTTTTTATTTATAAATAATTTGTTTGCTGTCTGCTCTTTGCTAATGAAATAATGCCACTGGCAACAATCTGAAGATTCTTTTTCTTGGGCCTACCTAAACAAAGAATTTGGGATCATTCTGTGAGGACTGTTGCCGATCGCAGGAAAAATGTATAAAAAGTAATGGAAATGACGTGTTCTTTGAAAATGGTACGGTTTAGCAGGAAATATTGTTGAAAAAAAACGGACTGATTTTTGTTAGAACTATAAGTTTTTAAACTGATTTTCCTCCTTCTTTTTGTTTTATTCACTATTATTTTTGCACCATAAATTTGTGTATTTATTGAAACACATTTTCCCGTTCTTCCGTTTCATTTAAGAACTTTGACAAGCAGTTGCGAAATTGACTAATTATTATGTCACGTCACACCTCATTTCGCACATCAAATTGAATTTGATTTTTGATTGGTCTTCTATTGCGGAAAAATAAACACAAATCGGGGCACCTCATTCACTGCCATATATCCTGGAGTTGGATCACTTTTCTATTCGATTTTGAGATTTTTCATTGGAGATTCTTTGAGCAGGGAACACTGGAACCGATTCGCGCTAGATCCGATCCGTGTCGATCCGGTACGATACTATGCGATACGGCACGAAAGTGATGATGTCGACGCTCCAACTGTTGCCGGCACACTCAGCGCGCTCTGCCGTTCCGCAGCAGCCTTTATTCCCAAAGCTCTCGCGCCCGATCGCTGCTGTTTCTCTTGGGGCCACCCTCGTCGGCTCTCTTTCTCTGCCTCTCTGGGGCTGTCTGGGCGAACGAGATGCGTGCCGAGCGCATGTGGAGCTGTGCTTTCTTTTCCCCGGCACTGCACTTCCCGGCACTTCTGTGTTCCTCTCTTGGAGAACTCTCTTAAGAAGAGCTGCGTGAATCATCGGGTTTTTGGACGTTATTCGATCTGCAGGGATGACTCACATGGGAACCGTAATATCCCGAATGTAGATTCCAGTATGTGCATGCATTGTGTGCTCATAGAAAAGGGCCTTCTAGCCAGGCCAGCCAAAAAGGCCAGCAGCAAAACAATTCCTTTGGTGCGGCGATTATCTCTTTGTTTAATTTCGAAGTCCAGATAAAGCCGTAGGATGCCGCTGCCAGACATTTAAAGGGAAACCCCACTTTAAAAAAAAGTTACTTACTGAAGTTACTTATTTTTCCCACAAGGCTGATTTTTGTGGATCATGTTTGCCCAAGAGATACATATGTATTTCACTGTGTCCGCCCTTGAACCTTTCGCTTGGTGAAGATTCCCTCTAAACCCAACAAAAGCAGATATTATAGAGTTGTGTATAGATTTGCATTGGATCCTTCTTTCCCCCTTACTTTTCTGATAAACCTGTCGGCGATAAATCATTATTTTGGTGCCAATTATTTATAATTATTTATATGGGCTTATTAATCTGCTGCTGCAAGTGATTCATTGGCGCGTTTTGTTCTTAATTTCTTGTTTTGTATTTCTTACAATTTATAAATAGAAATGAGAATCTCGGATACTGTTACCATTACGTTAGAGCGTTTGCTCATTTCCTTTTCCCTACTTTCTCGCTCGTTCTCTCTCTTCGTGCGCTCACTCTTCCCTGTCGTCTACTCCTCGTGCCGCATGCCGCATGCCGCATGCCGCATGTCGTTGTGGCTATTAAAGTCCAATTACAAGAATGCTTATCGGCGTAACACGTCAGTCCATGGGGCCATGCGAAGGGGTCGGATCGGATGTTCTTTCGGCTGCGGAGCTTTTCTGTTGGTGGCTCGAGTTGTTGTTGTTGAGAAATCACTGGAGTTTCTTGTTGTATGCTCTTTGCTGATGTTGGTGTGATTTCTGTTCTTGTTGTTGGTGTAGCCCTTTGTTGGTGAAGCTCTTTGTTGAGTTGGCCGTTCGATGCGGTATTCCTTGTTGTTGGTGAAGTTCTTTGTTGGAGTATTTCAGTGTTGGTGTCGAGTGTTGGTGTGCTCCTTGTTGGTGTTTTCTTGCGAATGCCTTGGCTTTCGTTTGAGCTAAAAGCTCCAGAAGTGTGTTAGCCTGTCAACAGGTTTGCATCTTGCTGCCGCCTCGTATCACTCTGCTCTTTGCTGTTGGTGTTTTGCTGCCGTTCTGGGGTTCCGTTCCGTTCGGTTCGGTTCGGTTCGGTTCGGTTCGGTTCTGTCTCTCGTCGCATCTTATTTATGGCCCCTGGCTGGTTCTGCTAATAGCCCATAAATCTTATTAATGATCTCTGTCAAGTGGCCATGAGCCCAAGAAGAGAACCACAAGATCTGCATACATTCATGTCTGCATTTGCATTTCATTTCTCAGTTCTAAGTCCGGGCTTCTGCCCCTCGTTGTTCTCGGCTCTCGACTCCCGACTCCCGACTCTGAGTTCTCTGGTGTGGCTGGGGCTGCTGACGGACAACTGCTTTCAGCGCTACCGTCAATCAGTCAGACTGACAAAATGTGTTTTACCCTTTTTCCAAGGAATTACGAGGGGACCCATCGTTTGCCCTAATTTGAGTGGGTGCGCCACGTTGAATGTTGAACTTTGTAGACAACAGAAGATGTTTTTAACCTGTTTGCTTAACAACATAGATCCCTTATGCATATATGGCTATAAAATGTAGAGTATTTTAAGGGAGTTTGAAGGTGTTAAATGTTTTACTTGGGGATTACCACAAGTCGCTCTAGTTGTTGTTAGGGTATTCCCGATTCGTTGGGGTCTTTTCCGGATCTTTCTTCACACTTTGTTGTGCAATACTTGAATGCTCCCGCCTTGCCGCAAATGGGCGTGCCTCGTGGGCGTTGCTGACTTCGCACCAGGCCAATAATCTTTAATAGGCTTGAGGAATTCCTTTTTTTCCTCGTTGTTGAACTTCTTTTTCAGGCAACGCCAATCGCAAATATGTGGCGGACCTCACCTCCGCCGCTCCTCCTGTTTGGAGTCTTGTCTCCACCCACGATCGGGCAATTTGCATATATGTCGCCCGATCTGCAGCGATCTGCACCGATCTGGCTTCGTTGTCCCATCTACCGAGGCCCTTCCCCTCATCTGAATATTTGTCATTTGCGTAGACACTTTTGACACATTTTCATGGGTCATATTTGTGTTGGGCTCTCCTCCCCACGGCTTTTCGGAGCACCCCATCCGGAGCTGATCTCGTTTCTATCTCAGGCAAACAGCTGGATAAAGGGGGACGGGCACCACTGGGAGATCTGGGAGGAGAGCTGTGACGAGACAGAAGACTCATGTCTCACTCACGATGCGGCTGGAAGCGGGGCATGGCACTCAATCTGTAGGCTGGCAGTTCATATCTCGCCCTTTTCGGATTTCTGTTGTCTTTCATTGATCAATGGGATCCTCCTAATTGCTTGACATGCTCTCCGCCCCATGGTGGTACCCCATGGTGGTAGGGGAAATGACACACAGAGGATGGCAATGACATGATCTCATCACTGGGTGAATGTCTTACATGTTTGTGGCTAAACCCGGGGCGGAGCGAGTAAGTCGGTGGAACAGTGGATCTCTTCTGCTAATCTCAGACCAGATTGTGTTTGCCATTTGTCTCCTCTCCTCAAGATCCGATAAGAGCTGCCAACTCCAGCAACTCTAGAGGAACGCGTTTCAATCAGCGGGGATCGGTTCAACGATCCACGGTCCTCCTCCATTGATTGCTTCCATTGAGTGCGTTCTGTTCAATGGGAGAATTTCCATAAATTCCATAAATGGAAACGCATTACGATAAATATCTTGTCCCTCTGCGAGGGCGTCAAGCAAAACGATCGTTTGCTCAACTTATCTCTGGTACGAGTGCCCCTCTCCCCCTCTCTCTCTCTCCTCCTCCCTCTCTTACTCTCACTCTGCTGTCTGTGGCGTTGGGGGCACGTTCGGTTCGGTTTGTTCCAGTTTCCAGTGTGCGGTTTTGTCTCTTTCCGATCGAGCCACAGAATCGACAATTAGTGAAAGTGGGAAATGTGTCTGGGGGCCTGTTTGTTGTTGGTTGTTGGTTGTTTGCTGTTTGCTGTTGACTTAAGCCAAATATCTGTACAAGCCATTGAGATCTCGGCCCTGGGACGTGTGAATATTTGAGGTAAACTAATCTCATGATTTGCACTTTGCTCCAGTCTCCAGTCTCCAGTCTTGGGGATTTCTCTCCATCTCTCTGGGCTACCAAGGAAAATGTCAATGTGCAAACAATCAACAACTTATCAGGGAGAGCCCCAGAGAGCCCCAGAGATTAATGGTGGCCTGTGGAGGGGGCGAACCTAATAGATTGTACCCAAGACAAATTGTGTGTGTTTTATGCGATACAAAAACGCTGAAAAAAGGTAAGCCACAGACAGGACTGGGGACTGGGGACTGGGGACTGGGGACTGGGGACTGGTGGCAGGGGCAGGGGCCAGACGGCCCAGACATGGCCAGATGGTTGTTGGCCTACTGAACCGCTCCGCACCGAACCGAAACTGTGCCAATAATGTAAATAGCCACCGAAGTGTCTAAATACTTTTGGCAGCGAAACCAATCGAAAGGCGAGACAAGCCGGCTGCTAAACAGAAACCTAAAAATAAAACCCATGACGACGTTGTACACAGATTCGCGACACACAAACACACACACACACAGACTCTCTATGGACGCGGGTGCGTTCATGCCACATGCCGCAAGTTGCCAACTTTTTTATTGCGACTGATGGCCAATGATGATGATGCAAGGGGCTGGCCGAGACTCTTTTATTCTTGCGGTTCTGTGTGTGGCTTATGCTTTATGACATTTTCCGTGCGTTTCCTTCGCGTGGCGCGGCGTGGCGCGGCGTGGTGCGGCGTGGCGTGGGCTCCCATTGAAATTAATTGCTGGGGGTCCGCCTTTGGCAAGTGTTTATTTGGTTTATGTCTTCGGGCCGGAGACAGCGCGGCATTATGTGGCTATAACTGATTCTTATAATCATTTGGTGCGCAGCTGTGAAAGGGAATGATTTATTGTCTTTAATTGGCAGGTTCTCCCAAGAATAGCTCCATTAATATTCTACAAAATGTTCCCTTTAAATATACAAATATCTCTCTGCGGATCCTTGTATCTAAGGGGCATTCTGAATGGGATTCCCCTTCGAATGGCATTCTTTTTATTTCCTTTTAAGCTCCATTCAGCTTCCAAAGTTTCTCTCTTTGATTCGATTTTGTAGTTCATTCCCTAACGTATATTTCCGGACTCTTTTAAGGGCAACCAAAGTTCTGTCACTCGACAGACATAAGCCAGATACATATACATTTTCTGCCACATTTTGCGGCCACTTTGGTGGCTCTGTTGTGGCAGATGCTCGAGACATAAAAAAGCCAGAACTGTGCTAATGTTTTTATTCTCTGAAATGTGCATATATATTTCTTTGACTTCTGGGGCGCCAAGCCAATTTGGCGACAGTCGGTGGATGGCCCCCGTCCTGCCACCGCCTTCCCATTTCCCATTTGGGGTGGCAACAAGTGTCTTGTGCTTCTCCTTAGCCCTCTTTTGTTTGATGATTAATGCGGTTTATATTTGGTCTGTTGGCCCACAGAATCCTAGCCAGAAGAGCGCCAGTTACAGCAGGGAGATTGGGCCAAATTGGAGGAGATCTATCGCAGTCTCGCGGTCTCGCAGTCTCGGATATCGGATCGTC